ACCGGTTTCGCCCTTCTGCTTTGGGCTCACCAGGTAGGCGCACTCCCCCAGTTTCCGTCAATCTTATGATCTACTTGAACCCAAATTGGACCGTTTTCGGGAAATACGCTCATTTGCAAATCAATTTGGTTTTCACGGGAGACTCAAGTGAATCTCTCGTTTACGATGTCCTCCACTGCATACAACATTCTCATAAACCGTCTCATCATTTGTGTACTTAATCGTACACATGTTCTGCCACAATTCTGATGGAAAGATAAGGTTTGCTTTGGCCGTTGCTTTGCAAAATCAGTACGTGTAGATGGAAACCAATATGGCATTGCACAGGTATCCTGCGTCACAAAAAGTACTTATTGATGACTATCTCGGTAACCAGAATACACGACCTAACCCTAATAGTCTGGCTTGACGGAGTGATGAGAACTTCTGGGTGCACAGGCCGGCGGATTGAGTGCAATATCATGTGAGCCATCAGATCATTCACGTGTTCAAGTGAGTGATCCCGAGAAAAACGTGCGTGTACTAACATGCGTCAACATGTGACACGCCTATGACAACCCTGCGTCGTTCCACTGGTTCAAACTTTCATTCAGTGAAGAGTAGACCAGAGGTAAACGGTACTCGATCAGTGCAGCGTTAGTCCTGACCCAGTTTCTTCCCATTCTCCTAGTCCGAGATTAGCTCAGGCTGGCTCTTGACTCCTAACTTCCTAACGAGCCAACTGTCCACAAACCGAGCACAGCTGAATAATTGCAGTGGAACAATCCTGGTCACGACGCCCAAGTAAGAATACCACCACTAGACGCAAGTAAATGCATTCAGGATAAAACTGGAGAAAGTGCCTGATAGTCCGTTGCTTGAGCGCTGAAATGTAACATGGCTACAATGCGGTGACGGTCTCCTCGGTGTTCTAAATTCATCGCATTCGAACCATCCCTATCATTTGTGAGGTCTAACAGTGTTAGTTGATCTGCTCGTGCACTTTTGCATTTCTAATTGAAATAAAAAGATCAACTCAGTCAATCAATAAATGGGTTGATCAGGTCCACTTGACACGACAACCTAATAGCAACCTAATGCATTTTGTGGACATAAGCTTGGTCGAAAGCGAATAGTCATCGCTGCTTTGAAGATAGAATGTAGTCAGTCCGATGACCTGTAGGTTGGTCGATGAAGGCTCTGAACCCACTCAGTTAAATCAAATAATAAGGCTAATTTCCCGAGGCACGTTCACCTATGTTTCGGCCTGCATTGCCAGTCTCATCACAGATGTACAACAAGTCACACGGAGACTCTGTAAGCAGTATATGTTCCGCTCTTCAAGGTGACTTGTGCCGTTAGAGAAAGCAGGTACTCTCGGTGGCTGGCTAGCCGTGAGCGATCTCGCGACGCACTATTCGCCCATACTTCGTGTCCAAACACTCACTTTTAAACAGTATGCAGATGAAAACATACTGCTTGTGCGCCGTATGTAGTCCATCTCGTTACGGAGGCATCCCAGAGTAGGCAGCAATTAATCTTGATGAGTAATCACTAAATAACCAGGTTTTATTGATATATTTGTAATGTATTCTCATAAGGTTTGCTGAAGATCCGTCGGCAGCCCACGACCGGTTTCGGCCTTTTTGGGACTCATCAGGTAGACTCAGTCCCCGGGTTTTCGTCAACCTTATGTTCTACTTGAAATCAAATTGTACGAAATTAGCGAATATACATTCATTTGCAAACTACTTTGGTTTTATTTTCGAGAGACTCACCTGGAACCCGGCTGAATCTCTCGTTTGTGATGTTCTCAGGCAACTGAATGTGCTGCACCAGGCCACCTCATGTTTCAGTCGCTACGATATTCGAGATATCGCGATACATGTATATCTTTGTAATACACCACTCATAAGGTTGCTGTAAATCCGTCGACAGCCCTCGACCGGTTTAGCCCTTTTTGGGGCTCATCAGGTAGGCGTGGTCCCCGGGTTTCCGTTAACCTTATATTCTACTTGAAATCATCTTGAAATCATCTTCCCCCTGGACGAAATCGAAATTGTGCATTCGTCTAGTTCTTTCACCGTCTTGGAAACTGCTGGAGTAAAACCTGAGTGAAACCTTAAAAGAGGCCCAGCCCATTCCGACTTACTTCGTGAGTATCGTCTTGGAGTCTGGTTATAAGAATATCCAGACAAATTGAAGTGTACGTTGTTTGAACAATGCCCTCAAAATGGGTAGGTTCGGTGGAGAAAAATATATCGACCAGATGCTTATTTAAAAGGAAATCGTCAATCATATTCCGAAAGGTAATCAGTAAACTAGAGGTCTAACTATGTCCACACTATCAAATAACTTCTCAAGCCGATATTCTCGGTACACAGGAGGAGTAGATCGTTATGACATTCTTACAGAATACACACATCGAGGATAGTGACAAAATCACATAGATATTCTATTTTCTGGTGAAGGTGGACGGAACTCGCATCTATAGAATGGAAATTTCGTTCTACCGGAACGGTGCGAGCTGATATGCGTCTTTGGTAGAGTACTCAGCAAACGGTTCACGAACCATCCGCGAACCTCCGAACCAACCCACAGAGTAAGACACTTGTTAATTACGGTGGGTAGTGGCAAAAATGTTTGGTGAAAAACATCCGCATAGATTGTTCGACCCCAGGCTTGCAAATGGAACTGGAAGTCGAAAGGGAGTCGAGCGCTTCTCCAAATGCCTGCTTTGGGCTTGCACGTCAGTTACCTCGTACATTTACATGAATTGAACATCAAGGGGGATCCACTACGAACCTCAGTCTATCGGCCTTACACTATTGATCTGCTAGGGGGCGAGATGGCCCAAGTGGTTAGAGCGCGAATATACTGACCGGAAGGTCCGCGGTTCGAATCCCACCTCTGCCACTCGACTTCCACTGCCTAGGCTTGGACAACCTGGCAGTATCCCAGCCCTCGTGCTTCCTCCAGGTGGCATGGCAGCTAGGCACCGGAAGGGTGTTACAGCTGAACGATTATTATTATATTTTATTGATTTGCTAATATGTGAACATACGATTTGTGCTCGTTGTACACGCAAGAGCATGCGTCGGACTTAAACGTCGGGGAGTTACACAGATACGAAATGGTGTGCGCACTTCAAAAATGGTGATGCAATCCATCCGACGGCCTTGTGCTACAGTGACGTTCTGCCATTACTTGTCCGCTAAATCAGATTATCGCACTCAATCCCAGTGCGTAGCTGGTTCAAGTTACGCGCTGGCGAACAGTGAAAAGACGAAAAGTCCCAAAACAATTCGAACAAGGGGTTCGTTCAAGTGCACTCGAAGAACAATGCTTAAAAATTGCACATTGTACGGTACGGCGAGATGGTAGCGGCCCCTCAGTGAAGCAACTGACCGAATGTCGCTTCACGTTACCGTGAGAATGGTGTGCGTGCCGATGACGAGTAGATTTGTGTTTTTTTCTAGCTAATGGTGTACAACATCATCTACCGCATGCACTGAGGCCATCAGGTGTTTCACACGCACACACACACACACACTTCAAAACTGTACTGAGAGGATTTAAAGTTTCGCGTCTTTTTTCACTGAAGCACGTGTAAATTAATCATTCATAGTTCTGAAGCTGAACGAAACCAAAGCCTACAACGCTGACCTTATCCGGACAAATTGTGATTCTCTGTGAGCTGTGGGGCATCGGCTTACACGTATACCATGTCAGCTGCGCGGATTCATGCTTCATGCGCTTCCGAGAGATCCGAAGAAAACATGCAGTGAGAAATTCGTATTTATATCAAAAGGGGTAGGAATGGGACTCGGGTTTCGCCTATGGTATGGCTCATCAGCAGTGCATATGGGTTTGCACTTCGGATATGTTACATGGGATGAAGGCGTATTGCAACTACCACACCACCGAAGACTGAACGAAACCGAGTAGGTGACGGATCTGTCAAGCGCCTCGAACGACGACTCACCTATCACGACTCCCCAGTAAAGTAGACTCACGGAAGGTTGAAAACCGCAGGATAAGTTTTGATTACTTGTGTGTGATTGTGGCATTTGTGGTCATTACACCTGTTTGAACAGTTCTCCTTCTATCCTGTCGGAATTATCCGGATTAGTCCAATCCAGCTAACCAATGACAAGCGTGAAATCGATCGCCTTTCGAATATTAGAGTCCAGGTGCGTTCACTGTGGGCTAGGGCACGTCAGATGCTCGGTGTTCAAACCCAGGCACGCCAATGGATATGCACTGATGAGCTCTAATCAGGGCGAAACCCAGGTTTTGTGCTGTCTTCCTTTGATGTGGACTCACCAGAATAATTGCGCTGGGACAAGAAGAGGACCACCTGGCCATATCGTTAAATGCGATATCGCCGCCCATGCATTTGTTTGTCTATGGGTTTTTGTGAATATATATGACACTAAAAATTCCTCGCAGTCAGCTCCTCGGTGGCCAAAATCTGTTAAGAAATCTATTCTTTTCGTCACGGATGCTTCTTTATTTCCCCATCTTCTTAACTCTCATCTACACCAGCCACACAGTCTGTGCTGTATTTCTGACAAATGACTGAGTGCACACACTCATTGTCATTTGTCATTTGGAGTACAGACAGACAGACAGACAGACAGACAGACAGACAGACAGACAGACAGACAGACAGACAGACAGACAGACAGACAGACAGACAGACAGACAGACAGACAGACAGACAGACAGACAGACAGACAGACAGACAGACAGACAGACAGACAGACAGACAGACAGACAGACAGACAGACAGACAGACAGACAGACAGACAGACAGACAGACAGATAGACAGACAGACAGGCAGGCAGGCAGACAGACAGACAGAGACAGCTAATGGTTTGCAACAATGTTACTGAAGTGGCGATGCGAGTAATACTTTGTCAACTACAGGCGCCCAGATGAATGGTATGAAACGCCGATGTTCACACAACTAGAAGTCTATCGACCTCGTGACGAAGGAAGAAAAAGCTGGCCAGTGACATACTCACGAGCTAAACAAACCTAAACCGGATGGACAAAACCAGGAGGCTGATGTGCAACCTTTTTCGGGAGCAAACCGAGTAGATAGCAAACCAAACGACATGAATAAAATCCAAACCAGATGAAAATCAAATGCCAAGCAAAGACTCATAGACCAATTGGTATTCACTAGGACTGTCACGGAATGGAAAGCGGAGATTGATGTGATTGGGTGAACCGTTGTTGAGTGCTCTACAATCCGCCAGCGAATGGTCGATTGACAAAATGGATAGCCTAAACTTGTTGGGCGTCATGTAGCACCGTATTCCAGACACGTGTTCTGAGCAGTGCTGATAATTCCCAAGGGTCGCAGAATGATTCTAATCTTTTCAACTAGAGTTGATTTCTTCTTCTTGGGCAAAGTAAGGTAAAGGTTCAATTCCTCTCTGCTGTGAACGACTTTATCCTGCGTACTCAGACGGCTGAACAACACGGGCAAATGCATATTTCACAATGGTCCATCCATTTTCGATGTTGTACACGACAAAGGTATGAACACAAGAAATTCTACATACATCGATCAGCAGGTCAGCAAACACAACTATGTGCCGTCTTCCCGGGTGTGGACCTCGAGGTGGGTCATATCAATGGTTAGAGACGTTGTCAGACATGGCCCAGTCGCGCCCCCAATGGCGCTCTTGCATCCAAGCTATTATCTTCAATGCATAGCTCCCTTTCCATTCCCTCCACTTAAGAGTCAACCCACAGTGTTGTATTTACGCATTAATTTATCTGCTCCCGCCTCCAATGCACAGCTGCCTAACCCACCTCCCCGAATCATCGGTGAACGAAACTGTGGCACCTGCAAACACTGTAAGATAAATACGCGGTTCGTACAGCTGACCATGATGATGTTGAGTATTTTTGTTCAATAAATTGCATGCACTAAAGATCGTAATTTGAAAGCGCGACAAAACGGAGACGGCCACGTGAATTAAGTCGTCAGGTGGTTCCAAACGGGAGCCTACTTCGTCCAGGAACGAACTTCATCGCTGAACGAAACTGTAGCTGCTATAACCACTGTACGACAAGTACGCGATTCTTACGTTTGACAATGAGGATGATGATGATGATGACGATGATGATGATGATGATGATGAGGATGAGGATGATGATGATGATGACAACTATGTGGCCAGTAATCAGAAACGACTTACATGAAGTACGGTGGCGTGATATTTTTTCAGGATTCTCCGTAAATACTGATTCAGCCAGTTGCTTTCTGCTTCTGAAATAGTCGGAAAATACTCGATGCTATGAACAATGATTTCGTCTAAAGACAATTCTGCCTTTCTGTGTCTCTAATAGGATAATGGAATTTATTGTTCATATTCATGCATCACGAATAAAGTATACGTATGTTCACAAGTGAACGAACCCCAGAGAACTATTTCAATTCACGCCAACTCTCATTGGCTCGTCCCAAAAATCAATCGCTAAGACTATTCAGGTGACCTTGAAACAATCACACTCCCTTAAAACGCACCCCTTTTCATCTTTCCGGTCATTTGCCACGTTTTACCAAATAACATTGAGGACGGACTGCGATCGAACGCCGATCGCCTTGGTGCGTATTCAACCTCGTCCGCCTGAATAAAGAAATGAACTGCCACCACAAGCCTATTAGTCTACAGAACATCCAACTACATGGTATAGCATTCGGCTTAATTAGGTAACTAACACCAAACGATGCCCCGTTTCTGAAAAGTTCAAAACTGCCTCCTCAGAACCATGTAAACTGGGACGCAGCACCCATCCGTGGTCAGCGTAACACTTTCTGCTTATGACTAATGCACTAAACTGAAGTACAAAGGCCCCGTGGGGGTTGTCAGAACACCCAGCCACCTGAAAACAGTGTCGTGCTTTTCCAAGCGTCTTCGAAGAGGGCCTAATGAGACCTCAATTAAGATACGTTATTTACAGAGGAATATTTTGATAAGTGTTGAAAGACGATCGTTTGAACGTATGGTATCGGTTATCACACATACCAGCATGTGCTCTCCTTTAATTCTGCATCATGCTTGGCTCTTTAACTGACATCTCCAAATTTAAACATCCTGGATTTGCTACTCTTCAGCGCAGTCCAGGAAAGTCATGAACATCTGCGAAAAACAGCTGCTATCAGATGGTGGACGGGTCCTTTGTCAGAACACCCAGCCACCTGAAAACAGTGTCGTGCTTTTCCAAGCGTCTTCGAAGAGGGCCTAATGAGACCTCAATTAAGATACGTTATTTACAGAGGAATATTTTGATAAGTGTTGAAAGACGATCGTTTGAACGTATGGTATCGGTTATCACACATACCAGCATGTGCTCTCCTTTAATTCTGCATCATGCTTGGCTCTTTAACTGACATCTCCAAATTTAAACATCCTGGATTTGCTACTCTTCAGCGCAGTCCAGGAAAGTCATGAACATCTGCGAAAAACAGCTGCTATCAGATGGTGGACGGGTCCTGACGGGTTTTACCAGGAGAGCTAGGACAAGAAAGCAGGTTTGTTCACATTGGCCTTGCAAACAAACCTGCTTAGCGTGGTCGCGTGGCGTCGCCATAAACGAATGACCAGAGCAACACTTGACTGACCCCAATGAGTCCCAATCAGGGCTAACCAAATTCCGCCTTTCCAATCTGCAGTTCAGATATATTACCAGAGTCAATTTGAATAAAATATGTAGCAATCCAAATTGTGTCATAGAGATCACTAAAATGCGTTTACTTGAGTGTCTCTTTTGCTCGCCAGTAATACAGATTTTTCCGGGCAATTTTTAAACTCGACTGAGTCTCGACCAGCTTTGCTTCCAGTTTTGAAACATGCTCCTTCAATGTGCGACAGCAAGCAGACTGAAATCACAAGTTAAAAAAATATCAGTGGAAATTGAGCAATGAGAATATCCCCTAGTGAAAACCATCTCTTTGAAAGACAATTCCAGGAACCAACCAATAGCTGTCTTACTTTTTCTCGCAACGCCTGTGAAAGAGCACTCGTGCGAAAAGGCGAACTCTGTTTACACCGAACTGAGGATCCATGTGTAGGCGCTGTCCTGGAGAAAAGACTGTGTGGGAGGAAATAGAGCGAACAATGACAATTTTGGTGGAGATTTGATGACGTCGAATAACGAAATGCAAGTAATTCACTTGAATATTGACTTATGTTCATGGCCTGAAAAGTCGGAGATCGGCGCCTTAGCGCCGAGGAGTTAGTCACATGACTCGCCTCACATTCGCAGTTGAAAATGTCCATAAGCATGTTTGTCACGGTTTGGTTGGAGGCCAATAAAAGATGATCCGCTTGGACTGACGTCTTCGTGTGTTCATACTACTAAGACCCCTGGCTTCTGTTCTGTTTACGCTGCAAGGTAGCACAAGGTTAACTTCACTCCTAGCATATGCATTGCCAGTCAGCATTCTGGATGGAGTGAGCTCCCGTTTGAAAATTTTACCTAACACCTGACTACATAATTCACGTGTCCGTTTCCGTTCTGTCGCGCCTTTAAATTACGATTCTTAGTGCACGCGCAATTTGTTAGACACAGTTACTCACCATCATCATTGTCAGCTGTACGGACCGCGTACTCGTCGTACAGTGATTGTAGCTGCCACAGTTTCATTCACCGATGATTCGGGGAGGTGGGGTAGGTAGCTGCGCATGGGAGGCGGGAGCTGATAAATTAGTGCGAAAAAGAGCACTGTAGATGGACTGTTAAGTGGGGGGATTGGGAAGGGAGCTATGCATTGAAGATAATAGGTTGGACGCAAGAGGGCCACTGAGGGCGGGACTGGGCCATGTCTGACAATGTCTCCAACCATTGATGTGGTCCGTCTCGGGGTCCCCATCTAGGAAGACGGCAACGACCACCGCAGCTGTTTGCTGGTACTAGCTTCTACACTCCGCTGTCAAGTCACTGTTTGACCACCCCTGGTTCCTTTCCATCCTTCTCGTGGCTGTGCGAGAAAAAAACCTTCAAGGAAGTCGGTCGACTGGCATACGCAGCACGTGGCCAAGCTAGCGCAACCGATACACTGTGATCAGTTCATCTATTGGGGGTGAGTTACTTCTTCCGAAGTGTTCCGGTGTTCCCACCAGACTCGGGCAATACTCCGAAGATATCGATGGTCAAACGCTGAAAGTCATTTTACGTCCTCGACGCGCAATGGCCAGGTTTCCGATCCATATCAGATGAAAAGAATCAGATCCTTCAGCTGTAACATCCTTCCGGTATCTAGCTGCCATGCCATCAGAAGGAAGCACGAAAGCTGAGATCTGCCAGGTTGCCCAAGCCTAGACAGAGGAATTCGAGAGGCAGAGGTCGGGTTCGAACCATGGACCTTGCGGTCAGTAAATTCGCCGTCTAGCCACTTGAGCCATCTCGCCCCTTCTGATCCGCATAGTA